AGTAGAGACGGGGTTTCACCATGTTGACCAGGATGGTCTCGATCTCTTGACCTTGTGATCCACCCGCCTCGGCCTCCCAAAGTGCTGGGATTACAGGCTTGAGCCACCGCGCCTGGCCCTTCTTTTTTTTTTTTAAGACGGGGTTTCACCATGTTGGTCAGGCTAGCCTTAAACTCCCGACCTCAGCTGATCTGCCCGCCTTGGCCTCCAAAGTGTTTGGATTACAGGAGTGAGCCACCACGCCCGGCCGAAAGAACTTCTTTTAGCTGAGAGTTCATTTTTAATTTATATATATATATATTTTTTTGAGGCAGAGTCTTGCTCTGTCACCCATGCTGGAGTGCAGTGGTGCAATCTCGGCTCACTGCAACCTCCGTCTCCTGGGTTCAAGCAATTCTTCTGCCTCAGCCTCCTGAGTAGCGGCAATTACAGGATCCCAGCACTATGCCTGGCTAATTTTTATAAATTTTAGTAGAGACGGGCTTTCTCCATGTTGGCCAGACTGGTCTTGAACTCCTGGGCTTAAGTGATCTTCCTGCCTTGGCCTCCCAAAGTGACGGGATTACAGGTGTGAGCCATCATGCCTGGCCAATATATTTATTTCAAAACAACATGTTGTACATGATAAATTTTACCTGTCAAAAGCAACAAAAACAATATGAAGTGTGGTGATGCTTTGTAGTCAGAGAAATACATTCACAGAAGTTCCCCTTAAAGAAATTCAAGGCTATGTGTGGTGACTCAACCCTGTAATCCCAGCATTTTGGGAGGCGGACGTGGTGGATCACTTGAGGTCAGGAGTTTGAGACAACCTGACCAACATGTGAAACCCCATCTCTACTAAAAATAAATCGGCTGGGTGTGGTGATGCATGCCTGTAATCTCAGCTACTGGGGGAGGCTGAGGCAGCAGAATCACTTGAACCATGGAGGTGGAGGTAGCTGTGAGCCAAGATTGCATCACTGCACTCCAGCCCAGGTGATAGAGCGAGACTATCTCAAAAAATAAAAAAACAGTTGGCTAGGCACCGTGTCTCACACCTGTAATCTCAACAGTTAGGGAGGCTGAGGAGGGAGGATCACTTGAGGCCAGGAGTTCGAGACCAGCCTGGGCAACATGGTGAAACCCCGTCTCTCCAAAAAATACTAAAATTTTTTGGTTGTGGTTGCACATGCTTGACTCCCCATCTCCCCGTGAAGCTGAGACAAAAGGATCGCTCGAGTCCAGGAATTTGCAGCTGCAGTGAGTGAGTGCCACTGCACTCCGGCCTGGGCGACAGAGCACATCTGTGTCTCAAAAATTAAAAAAAAAAAGTAAAAGAATCTGGAGGCAGACACAGCAGGATGAGCAGGTGAAGACAGAAGGCAGTGATCTGTAGGCCTGGGAGAGGGGCCTCAGAAGAACCCAATCTGCCCACACCTTCACCTTGGACTTCCAGCACCCCCCGCCTTCCCACCTTGAGAAATACATTTATGTGGTCAAAGCCACCGTCTTTGGTGCTTTTTTTTTTTTTTTAGACGGAGTCTCAATGTATCACCCAGACTGGAGTTTACTGACACGATCTCGGCTCACTGCAACCTCTGCCTCCCAGGTTCAAGTGATTCTCCCACCTCAGCCTCCCAAGTAGCTGGGATTACAGGTGTATGGTACCACACCCTGCTAATTTTTGTATTTTTTCATAGAGGTGGTGTTTTGCCATGTTGGCCAGGCTGGTCTCGAACTCCTGACCTCAGGTGATCCGCCGGCCGTGGCTTCCCAAAGTGCTGGGATTACAGGTGTGAGCCACCATGCCCTGCTTTGTGGCACTTTTTAATGGCTGCTCTAGCCAACGAATACACCATCCCATGATACAATGTTTGTGACCAAGCCCCATGAAAGCCCAAGGTGGGGACCACCAGAAAGTCCCAGACCAGCCCGCACTCACCTCAGGTTCTGAAGTTTGCAGTTGTGGTGTCTGAGTCCTTGACAGAGCAGCTTCACCCCCCGGCTGCCCAGGGCATTGCGGTACAGAGCCAACTCAATCAGGTTCGGATTGGTGCAGAGGGCCGAGGCCAGATGTTCACTGTAGGCGTCCAGCAGAAAGGTCCTCTCCGGTCTGCATGGAGGAAAGACAGGCCACTCTCTGTTGTTACTGGGTGCTTGTCAATATGGCCTTTTTATGTCACTTCACAGTTTATGAAGCATGCTATTTTTTTTGAGATGGAGTTTTGCTCTTGTTGCCCAGCCTGGAGTGAAATGGCACAATATCAGCTCACTGTAACCTCTGCCTCCCGGGTTCAAGCGATTCTCCTGCCTCAGCCTCCCAAGTATCTGGGATTATAGGCATGTGACACCAGGCCTGGCTAATTTTGTATTTTGTTTTTAGATGGAATTTTGCTCTTATTGCCCAGGCTGGAATGCAGCGGCGTGATAGCTCACTACAACCTCCACCCCCCGGGTTCAAGCATTTCTCCTGCCTCAGTCTCCTGAGTAGCTGGGATTACAGGCATGAGCCACCACACCTGGCTGTTTTTGTATTTTTAGTAGAGATGGGGTTTCACCATGTTGGTCAGGCTGGTCTCGAACACTCGACCTCTGGTGATCCACACACCTCGGCCTTTCAAAGTGCTGGGATTACAGGCATGCACCACTACACCCGGCTAATTTTTGTATTGTTAGTAGAGACAGGGTTTCACCATGTTGGCCCAGCTGATCTTGAACTCCTGGACTCAGGTAATCTGCCTGCTTCGGCCTCCCAAAGTGCTGGGATTATAGGTGGCAGCCACTGTGCCTGGCCGAAGCATGCTATCTTTTAATTTTTTTTTTTTTTTTGCTGGGGCGGGGCAGGCGGAGCATGGGGAGGGTCTTGCTCTGTTGTCTAGGCTGGAGTGCGTGGTGAGATCAAGGCTCACTACAGGCCTGACCTCCTAGGCTTAAGCAATTCTCCCAAGAAGCTGGGACTACAGGTGTGCGTCATCATGCCCAGCAATTGTTTTTAGAGGTTGGGGTCTCCTTATGTTGCCCAGGCTGCACCTGGCTCTATCTGAAACTCTGAATCATTAATTAGTTGGTTTACTTGTTTGTCTCTTTATTATCGGTCTCTGTTCTCATTAGGATGGGTGCTCTGTTGGGAGCAGTGGCTTATTCACACTGTTTTCTGTCTACACAAGATTGTTCGGTCCACAGATAAAAGGGACATAGAGCTGGGCACAGTGGCTCTCACCTGTAATCTCAGCACTTTGAGAGGCCGAGATGTGTGGATCACTTGAGGTTACGGAGCTTGGTTACTCAGTCTCGAAGAAGGGGGCGAGGCAGATCACAAGGCCAGGAGATTGAGACCATTCTGGCTAATATGGTGAAACCCTCTCTCTACTAAAAATTCAAAAAAATTAGCCGGGTGTGGTAGCATGTGCCTGTAGTCCCAGCTACTTGTGAGGCTGAGGCAGGAGAATTGCTTGAACCCGGGAAGCGGAGGTTGCAGTGAGCCAAGATTGCGCCATTGGACTCCTCCCTGGGTGACAGTGAGAAAAAGGGACTTAGTAATGTTTGTTGAGTGAATAAATTCTCTTTGATATCGACATCAATTTAGCCCCAGGGGGTGGTGTTTAATCTCTACAGTGACAGTATTGATACTTGGGGCCAGAGGGAGTCTTCTGTGTATTGTAGGACATTGGCAGCACTCCCAGCCTTTATCCACTAGATGTCAGTAGTGTTACTTGCTTCCCAGTTGTGACAACCAAAAATATGTCTCCAGATAACTGCCAAACATCAGAGCAAAATCTAGTTGAGAGGCAGTGGTCAAGAGCATGAACCTCGAGACCAAGGTGGGCGGACCACTTAAGGTCAGGAATTCAAGACCAGCCTGACTAACATGGCGAAACCCTCTCCACTAAAATTACAAACATTATCCTGGCATGGTATGGTGGTTGGTGCCTGTAACCCCAGCTACTGGGGAGGCTGAGACAGGAGAATCGCTTGAACCAGGGAGGCAGAGGCTGTAGCAAGCCGAGATTATGCCACTGCACTCCAGCTTAGGAGACCAAGAGAGACTTCATTTCAAAAAGCAAAAAAAAAAAAAAAAAAAAAAGCTGGACATGGTGACTCACGCCTGTAATCCCAGCACTTTGGGAGGCCCAGGCAGGCGGATCACCCGAGGTCGGGAGTTTGAGACCAGCCTGACCAACATAGAGAAACCCTGTGTCTACTAAAAATACAAAATTAGGCCGGGCGCAGTGGCTCATGCCTGTAATCCCAGCACTTTGGGAGGCCGAGGCGGGTGGATCACGAGGTCAAGAGATCGAGACCATCCTGGTTAACATGGTGAAACCCCGTCTCTACTAAAAATACAAAACATTAGCTGGGCATGGTGGCGCGTGCCTGTAGTCCCAGCTACTCAGGAGGCTGAGGCAGGACAATTGCCTGCACCCAGGAGGCAGAGGTTGTGGTGAGCCGAGATCGGGCCATTGCACTCCAGCCTGGGTAACGAGCGAAACTCCGTCTCAAAAAAAATACAAAATTAGCTGGGAGTGTTGGTGCACGCCTGAAATTCCAGCTACTCCAGAGGCTGAGGCAGGAGAATCGCTTGAACCCGGGAGGCAGAGGCTGCAGTGAGCTGAGATTGTGCCATGGCACTCCAGCCTAGGAGACTGAGAGAGACTTCGTTTCAGAATGAAGGAGTCAATGAATGCATGCATGCATGCATGCATGAACCTGAGCAGCCCCAGAGATACTTACAGCTGCACCAACAGCGTGTGGGTCCCTGCAGAGCACCTAGCCCGGTCTTCCCTGTCCACGCTGTATGTGGCGCCATACAAGTGCAGCACCTGGGCGCTCCTGCAGTTCTTCAGGCAGAACGAGGAGACCATGTGCTCCATCATGGAGGCGATGTTGCTGACCACGATCACCTGGAAGTGGCTGAGGGCCTGCTGGATAAACTCCTCCTCCTGGATCTCGTACAGGCAGCTGAAGAACTCCAGGGAGCCCTGCTGCAGGGTGGAGCCGGTGCTCTGCGCTTTGCTCTGGATCCACTGCAACAGCTGCGTCTTGATGTGCGGCGAGACCTTCCAGCAGAGACCCTTCTCCAGGTGGCTCCTGGTCTCCTCGTTCAGCAGCCCGAAGAGGAAGCGGATGGTGAGCGCCAGGAAGCTCCTTTCTGAAAACTCGTACTCGGCCAACAGCCTGTTAACGTCCTGCTCTGGGCCTGCCACACGCTCGCCCTCGTCCAGGAGATAGTACATAGCTGCGAAGAATTCCTGGAAGCTCAGGTGGATGAAGCTGTAGTACCTCTCACAGTTGATGTCCTTCTGGAAGATGTTCATGTTGAGGAAGGCGGACACGTCTGCCCCGTCCAGGCCATGCCTGCGGAGGTCCTGCTCCTCAAACAGGATTTTCTGATTCCAGAGCCCGTCTGCCGCCAGGGAGCACAACCCTCTCTGGTTGGGTGGGGGCTGGAGGTGCGGGGTCCCGGGCTTGGGTTGCATCAGACTCAGCAGGTAGAGCATGTACACCGCAGTGGTGGTCCTGGATGTCTGTCTCAGCAGCCCCCCACTCTCCAGCTGCTGCTGGAGGCAGGTGCAGACCACCCAGCACACCAGGGGCACGAAGCACATGGTGAAGAGAGGCTCGTTGTCCCTCACGTAGTTGAAGACGTGGCCTGCCTGCTCTGCATTTTGAAAATACTTGTAGAAGTACTCCTTCCTCTCCGCCTCCGAGAAGCCCAGGATCTCCACGTGCCTGGGGTGCTCCAGCAGACGGTGGAGCTTCTCCAACGCTGTGGGCCTCGTGGTGATGAGCAGAGATAGCTCAGAGAGGAGCTTCTTCCGAATTAAGCTGCTAAGGAGCAGTTCCGTGGGCCGTTTCTCCTCCCAGCAGAGGCACCAGGGTCCCTGAGGATCGTGGAAAGAGGGCTTGAGCTCATCGAAGCCGTCGATGATGAAAAGGAGACGCTCGGGAACGCGCACTAGCTCCCGCAGAGGCGCGCTGGGCTCCGGCCAGCAGCTGGAGATGAGGTCTCGCATGCTGCGTTCCGCGGCACTCTGGTTCAGCTCCCTGCAGTTGATGTAGAAGAGATAATCAAACCTGCCTTGGAAGAGCTTCCCGTCCGCCCAGTCCAGCATCACCTTGTGAGCCAGCATGGACTTGCCTATCCCCGCCGCCCCTTGCATGACCACGGTGCGCGGTGGCTCGGGGCGCTCCTCGTCTGGCTCAAAGAGGGTTTCTATCTTGATGGGGCTGGTCTGGTGTCCCACGGTCCTCGCGTGTTCCCGGCCCGTGTCCAGAAGCTGCTGCTGGGCCCGCATGGGGTTTGAGTGCTCCTTCACCAGCAGGAGCCGAGTGTACCGGTGGCTGAGGTTGACACATTCCCCTAGGCGCGCATTGCGGTCTTCCATGAGCCGGAATTTCCTGCGGACGTAATCCCTGTAGGTTTCCTGGGGATCTAGGGGAGAGGAAGGAAGGTTTTGTGGAATACTCATCAGCAACCTCTAATGAGTTCATGAGGAAAAGTACTCCTCGTCTGGGTCAAAGAGGGCATGTGCCTGTAGTCCCAGTTACTTGGGAGGCTGAGATGGGAGAATTGCTTGAATCCAGGAGGTGGAGGTTGCAGTGAACCGAGATCACTCCAGCCTGGGCAACAGAGCAAGACTCCTCAAAAAAACCATGGCCTAGCACCCACTTGCTCCCCAATATCCTTGAGACAGTTTTCAAAAAGGAACCGGAGAACCTTAGTCCTTCTTTGTAAAGATCTTCCCTTTTCACCCCACATGGTGACTCAGGCCTGTAATCCCAGCACTTTTGGAGGCCAAGGTTGAGCAGATCACCTAAGGTCAGGAGTTTGAGACCAGCCTGCCCAACATGGCGAAACCCCATCTCTACTAAAAATACAAAAGTTAGTTGGGCATGGTGGTGTGCTTCTGTAGCCCCAGCTACTCGGAGACTGAGGCAGAAGAATCACTTGAACCCAGGAGGTGGAGGATGCAGTGAGCTGAGGTCGAGCCACTGCTTTCCAACCTGGGCGATAAGAGCAAAACTCTGTCCCAAAAAGTAAAATTAGGCCAGATGTGGTGGCTCACACCTGTAATCCCAGCACTTTGGGAGGCCGAGGCTGGTGGATCACAGGGGTGAAACCCATCTCTACTAATAAAAAATTAGCCGGGCATGGTGGTGAGTGCCTGTAATCCCAACTACTTGGGAAACCGAGGCAGGAGAATTGCTTGAACCGGGAGGCGGAGGTTGCAGTGACCTGAGATCAGCCCACCACACTCCAGCCTAGGCGACAGCATGAGACTCTGTTGCAGAAAAAATAAATCGTGCCATCTGTGCTTGGCCTAGGCTCCATTGGGTCATCAGCTTTGTGTAGATTACACATGTAGATTACATACATGTAGGTACCTGGCTTGAGGCTCACCTTTCTTTGGAGTGGCAGGAGAGACTTCCAGAAGGCATGTTGACTGGTTCCCAAGTGAGGATGGGCCACCAGGTGGGGTATCTGAGAGAGAAATTGTGGAGGATCAGCTGGCATGCATCTGGCTAGGAGCACTGTGGTATTAGGCTCGGTCACATTAAAATGCCTCCATAACCCCCTATTCACCCACGCCCCGGAATGTTCAGTAGCCACTGCACAGGCCATGTGTGGGGAACAGCTCACCCCTTGTTCCCTGTAGCCCACCCTCCTTCCTGGGTGCCCCTCATGGTCATTGGCACCTCCATCCATCCAATCAGTCTTTTTTTTTTTTTTGAGAGTGAGTCTCACTCTGTCACCCAGGATGAAGCACAGAGGTGTGATGTTGGCTCACTGCAACCTCCACCTCGCAGGTTCAGTGATTCTTTTGCCCCAGCCTCCCAAGTAGCTGGGATTACAGGCGCACAGCTAATTTTTGTATTGGCTGGTCTCGGACTCCTGACCTCGTGATCCGCCAACCTCGGCCTCCCAAAGTGCTGGGGTAACAGGCGCGTCCGGCCCCAATCAGTCTTTTTGATGGAAGTTCTGACTCAGTCCAGACTCCTCTCTCATCAGCTCTCGGCTACTTCTCATCCAACTTCTTTTCTTTGCTCTGTCACCCAGGCTGGAATGTAGTGGTACAGTATACAATACCTTGGCCCACAACAACAGCTATCTCCCAGGTTCAAGCGATTCTCCTGCCTCAGTCTCCCAAGTGGCTAGGATTACAGGCCTGTGCCACCACACCCGGCTAATTTTTGTATTTTTAGTAGAGACATTGTTTTACCATGTTGGCCAGGCTAGTCTTGAACCCCACCTTGGCCTCGTAAAGTGCTGAGATTATAGGCCTGAGCCACCAGGCCCGGCCCATCAGCCATTTAAAAATACACATACATTGGGCACCAACATTACCCAGCCATTGTTCTAGTCACTGGGTACATAGCAATAAACAAGACATGAGGTTCCTACTTCAGGGACCTTATATTCTAATGGTGCAGGGAGCTCAGCACATCAAAAATAAACACTTTGTCGGTGGTGGCTCATACCTGTAATCCCAGTACTTTGGGAGGTCAAGGCAGGCAGATCACGAGGTCAGCAGTTCAAGACCAGCCTGACCAATATGATGAAACCCCCTTCTCCACCACAAATACAAAAATGCTGGGCAAAGTGGCTCACACCTGTAATCCCAGCACTTTGGGAGGTCAAGGCAAGTGAATCACCTGTCAGGAGTTCGAGACCAGACTGGCCAACATGGTGAAACCCCATCTCTACTAAAAATACAAATATTAGCCAGGCATAGTGGCATGTTCCTGTAATCCCAGCTACTGGAATGCTTAGCAGGAAGATTGCTTGAACCTGGCAGGCAGAGGTTGCAGTGAGCCGAGATTGTGCCATTGCACTCCAGCCTGGGTGACTGAGACTCCATCTCAAAAAAAGAAAAAATTCTTGCCAGGCCTGGTGCCTTGCACCTATAATCTCAGCACTTAGGGAAACTGAGGCAGGAAGATTGCTTGAGTTCAGTAGTTCAAGGCCAGGGTGGGCAAGATGATGAGACCCCAACTCTCCCAAAAAAATTAGGCTGGATGCAGTGGCCCATGCCTTTAATCCTAGCACTCTGGGAGGAGGCCAAAGTGGGCAAATCACTTGAGGCCAGAAGTTCGAGACCAGCCTAGTCAACATGGCGAAACCCTGTCTCTACTAAAGATAAAAAAAATTAGCTGGGTGTCATGGTGCCTGCCTATAATCCCAGCTACTTAGGAGGCTGAGGCAGGAGAATTGCTTGAACACAGGATGGGGGCGGGGGTTGCAGTGAGCTGAGATTGTACCTCTGCACTCCAGCCTGGGTGACAGAGTAAGACTCCATCTCAAAAAAAAAAAAAAAAAAAAAAGGTGGTGGTGGTGTACACCTGTAGTCCTGGCAGGAGGCTGAGGCAGGAGGATTGCTTGAGCCCAGGAATTCAAGGCTGTAGTCATGAGCTATGATCACAGCCTTGCAGTCTAGCCTGGGCAACAGCAAAACTCGGTCTCTTAAAAAGATTTTTTTTTTTTTTTTAATCAGAGTCTCACTCTGTACCCCAGGCTGGAGTGCATTGGCTTGATCTTGGCTCACTGCAACCTCCACCTCCTGGGTCCCGGTTCAAGCAATTCTCTTGCCTCAGCCTCCCAAGTAGCTGGGATTATAGGCATGTGCCACCATGCCCAACTAATTTTTCTATTTTTAGTAAAGATGAGTTTTCACCACGTTGGCCAGGCTGGTCTTGAACTCCTAACCTCAGCCTCTCAAAGTGTTGGGATTACAGGCATGAGCCACTGGACCCAACAGAAAAATATTTTTTATTTTTATTTTTTGGTAGAGATTAGGTCACAGTATGTTATCCAGGCTGGTCTGGAACTCCTGGCCTCAAAGATTCCTCTGAACTTGGCCTCTCAAAGTCTTGGAAATACATGTGTAAGCCATTGTGCCCAAGCCAAAAAAGGTTTTTGTCTGGATATATCATAAGATTCTACATGTCAGTCCTTCCTTAGCATCTTTGGTCCTGAGAAGACCCCTGAAGTCCTAAGTGTGAGTGCCTATGCTCTCACCTGATACGCTGCCCACCCAGTGGGAAAGGCTCCCCACCTGGCTAGTTCTCCTGTCAGCTGACCCAGCCGCACCCCGTCTGGTACTCACTCTGACAAGTTTTCACCGCCCTGCTGGTTGCTAGTCCGTGAAATGATTCACGAAAGCAAAGCACATCCTCTTGCCAGAGCCAGGAAGCACCCTCATTACTACACAGCCCACCTCCCACAGCCCTCTAGCTTCATGCTGTTCCCATCTGCAATTCCTGTGCCACCCTTCTGGCATATGAGACACCTTCCCTGTGAGTCCATGCAACTAATAAACTGTTGTCTTTCATCTGCTCAGTGCTGGCTCTGGTATGTTCAGTCATCTCACGCTATTTTATTACTTATTTTTATTTAGAGACATAGTCTCACTCTGTCTCCCAGGCTGGAGTGCAGTGGCACGATCTCAGCTCACTAAAACCTCCACCTCTCGGGTTCAAGCGATTCTCCTGTCTCATCCTCCTGAGTATCTGAGATTACAGGCACCTGTCACCACAACTGGCTAAGTTTTTTAGTAGACAGGATTTCACCATGTTGGCCATGCTGGTCTCGAACTCCTCACATCAGGCAATCCGCCAACCTTGGCCTCGCAGTGCTGGGAATACAGGGGTGAGCCACCGCTCTGGGTCTAAGTTTTTTTTTTAAAGGTAATCCTTGAAAATTGCAGCTGAGGCTGGGAGCGGTGGCTCACACCTGTAATCCCAGCACTTTGGGAGGCCGAGATGGGTGGATCACGAGGTCAGGAGATCAAGACCAACCTGGCCAACATGGTGAAACCTGGTCTCTGCTAGAAAGCTACAAAACTTAGCTGGGTGTGGTGGCGCATGCCTGTAATCCCAGGTACTCAGGAGGCTGAGGCAGAAGAATTGCTTGAACCCAGGAGGTGGAGATTGCAATGAGCTGAGATCATGCCATTGCACTCCAGCCTGGGCAACAAGAGTGAAACTCCATCTCCAAAAAAGAAAATTGCAGCTGAGACAGGCTTCAGAGATGTTCTCCCTCAGTGTTTCCTAAACATGCTGTGAGAACCACCCACATCCAAATGCAGATTCCTGGTGCCCCAGACCTGCTGGATCAGAATCTGTAGGGTTGGGGGGTTCTTGGGTTCCCCATTCTCCACAAGGGTCTCGAGAGACTCTTACCCATAGTAACATGAGAACTGCTGATCTCCTCTGATGCCCTTTGTTTTACAGATGGAGACAGAAGCCCAGAGGGGTACATCAATTCTCTGGCATCACACAGACAGAAAGAGCAAAGCTTGGCTAGGTGTGGTGGCTCACACCTGTAATCCCAGCACTTTGGGAGGCCAAGTCAGGCAGATCACGAGGTCAAGAGATTGAGGCCATCCTGGCCAACATGGTGAAACCCCACCTCTGCTACAAATACAAAAATTAGCTGAGCATGGTGGCGTGTGCCTGTAGTTCCAGGAGGGAGGCTGAGGCAAGAGAATTGCTTGAACCCGGGAGGCAGAGGTTGCAGTGGGCCGAGATCACACCACTGTACTCCAGCCTGGGTGACAAGAGCAAAACTCGATCTCAAAAAAAAAAAAAAAATAGCAAAGCTAGACATCTGCCTCCCTGGGAACACTGAGCTGTGAGCTGCCTCTCAGTACAGTAAACATATGCTGTCCAGAGAAAAATGCTCACCCGCTTACCAAATTGTTATGCATTGTCCATGCTGGGAGAGATTGAGGCAGAAGAGGGAAAGAAGTGGGACTTTACTTTTTATTCTATATTTGTACATTGTTTCCATTTCATAAAATAACTATGTGACACTTATATTTAGATATGATTATGCAAAATGACAAGTAAGTACATTGATACTCTTTTTTTTTTTTTTTTTTGAGA